CTAAAAAATTTTAAATGGTAAATATCTGTGTTATATCTGAGTTGTACATCAGTCCTATGAATCACATAAACAAAAGTGTATCTGAATTTATGAGAGAGACAGTCATTCATTAATAAGCTTATTACACTCCAATTAAGTCTTATTATTTGTCCAAAATCTCAGTTTGAACTACAGTCTCTCTATCGGGCTATGTTTTAAGCAAATTTATTTTATACATGCTACAAGGTATAATCACTTTTGAATTTTCACTTACAACAATATGTTAAAAATTTGACTCTGCTTCCTGATGGAGTTTCATAATTTCAGTCAGAACGATGAATTGCTGTGCTGGGAAGGTATGAGTTTTTTGTCAACCTTCATGCCATGTTGTGGAATCTATTATTTCTGGGCTTTCTTACCTGTCTGCTTGCTGCTTCCTTGCACAGGAAAACAGGATATTCATCTTCAGCTCATGAATAAGTAGTCTATTAGTGCTGAGACAGAGTGATTTGTCAATATTGTAGTAGCAGTAACTTCTCAGAGCATCTTTAGAGTTCCTCTTGCAATGCTAAACAGGAGGTATTCCTGAAATATCCTTCAGATTCATCAAATTTAATAGGAATCGATACTGTTTCAAATAAAGGCTTATTCCTTCTGCTCTTAAGCCTCTCAAGCTCTCCAAACTTAACTACCTCTTAAAGGGTTCTTTGAATTTGGCTATGGCATCATAATTTATTAATAGACCTTAGAGAGGTACTTTAAGTTTCTCACAGAAATTTGTGAGGCTTTGTCAGATCAATTCACCCCACAAAATATATGTTCAAATTGCTTTTTATATTAGTAATTAGTTGTGACATGATATAACCCTACTGTATTGTACCTAACTCCTCTCACTGTTCACGTAAGGAGCAAATACAAGCATTACCTGACAGCTCCTATTAAGATAGGTCTGCAACACAGGTCCCATACAGGAAATCTGTCCTGATTGGAAGCGTGTTCAGTCATCATCTTCAATTTGCTGCAGTCAAGGGACCATAAATATGTGCTTTAAGTGCTTTCTCAAATGGAGGTGGACTGTTAACTAAAGCTTATGTCAATGACTTAAGTCACTGCCAAGCAAAGTTTATTCTGGCTAAAATATTTTGCCTTGATCGGACAGCTCTCAGCATGAACTAGTTAACAATGCTTGATAAATTACTTTGAAAATATGCAGTAATTTTCCTTATTATCCACTTATCTTGGTCAGTGTGTCAACTTTCAGAGCCCGAATAAAAAGTCACTCCAACAACTGCAAAATTATAAAAAGGGAAAAAAAGCATCGAGGGTGGAAAAGCACCTTGTTGCATTGGCAGCTGTTTTGGTACCTTGGTTTCTCAGGATCTTCAGTTGTCCATTGCAATTAGGAGACAATTATGGGGACACAATCAGGAGTAAAGTGAGGACAGTGACTTGACAAAAAAGTTTTGTTGGAGCATGCAAGTACGAAAATGTAACAATCAGCTGTTACAGGCTTAAAACACAGGGCTTTGCCAGCAGCCAGCCAAGGCAATGAAACAAACTCCTATAGGGGTAAAAGACTATTAAAAATGCCATCAGTTCTCACTCCAAATGCAAATCACTCTTTTTCTATCTTGCTTCCCATAAGCAGGTAATAATCGTACCAAAACAAAGCACTCCTACTAAGTCTCTAGTGCTTCACACAGGGAAGGGATGAGGCAGATGTGACAGATGTTAGTCACCTCACGTTCCACAAACTTGCTAGGTGCTCATATACTTCACAACGAAAGCAAAATGAGAACCTACATAAAATACAATGGCATACAAGAGCAGGGCAGGAGGAGACTGACAAGGGTATCATTACTAGGAGAGCAGGATACAAAAAAAGCTACTGAAGACATGCTGCTGCAGCTGAATTATGTAGAGCTCTGAAAGAGAACAAGCTCGAATTTAACACACTGATTTATTCCGTTTCTGTTTCCTCACTTATGACGTAATCATTAATCAGCTACTTTTACAGTGAGAAAAAACTGGTTTTTGATTAAATTAATCATGAATACAGTCCAGAAATAATTCCCTGCAAGTATTCTTTTGAGCAAACACTTTACTCCCACAGCTTTTTAGAAAAAGCTCCATAGTTGATAAAATAAGTACAAACATGATCTAAGCAAAACTCTATTTAGCAATTGTCAAAACACTAGTGAGTAGATTTCCTCATTATTCACTCATCTCTGCTGGTATCTTCCCAGCCGGGGTGCAGATGAGAACCCTATACTGCAAAGCAACAAAGGCAAGAGGGAGAGAAAAATTTCTAGCTGGGCTGGAAACCTCTCTCCTCACCTTGGCGCTAGGTACGTCTGAAATTCAGGGCCAGAATTGTTTCTGGCAGCTCTTGAGCAGCAGAGAGGGAGATTGCAAGCCAAAGAATGGCTTTTTGAAACAAGAACAGAGCTCCTGCAAAAGCCATTTCCTTGCCTACAATCACTCTTTCATCTCTGGCCATCTGTCTGATGGAGGCTGCCTGACCTATCAATACTAAATAACATTACAAGGGCAGTTCTGTTCACTGAGACTTAACGGTTTCAGCTTGTCTCTAGATTAAAATCACTCTTCTGGAAGGACTTGTGAACAAAACTAGGAACAGGAGTCATGTGCCCAGAGAATATAAATGCATTGCCCTTCGAGCTGAAATTGTAGTTCCTTAGTGCAGGAGGCTCTACCACTGGACTAACATTAGTGCTCATTACATTAATTACACATTCAGATAAAGCACCTGGTTTACAAACACAATGACAACATGTTATATGTGTTTGAAAGCAAGAACAAAGCCCACTGAATGAAAGATCTGAGGATTTGCCTGGAGGCTTGTGTATAACAGCCACTTTGAACAATTCTAAATTTAACCAGTATGCCATAAAAATAAAATGCACAGCACTTCATACACTTGTCACTAGCACTAATTTAAACCACACTGTGGAATAAGCTATTTAAATGGGCTTGTTGACCTACTTTTTAATCCCAGCTTTTGGGGAAGAAAAGAAGTTATTACTTAACTTAGAAGGTTGTTATTTCCTATAAATCATATTTTTGTATGACTCTTACCACACAGTATTTTATTTTATGAGGATTATTTTTTTCCACTGAATGCAGGTATAGATTAAACTGCAGAATGTTAGGAGTCAGAAAAATGTTTTCATTCATTATTGCCTTGAAGTGATCCTAATTTGTCTGGCATTTTGACAATCTTTCTGGCTATAATAATTTTTTTCTCTGTCCTCTCATTCACTTCAATTTGAGAAGAATTAGATCATCTTGAACAAGGAGAGGATCCTGTCACCGTACAAAACCATTTACAAAGAGAGATAAAGGGACTTTGTTTGATTTAGTTCATTTTCATAAAAATTCTTTCCTCAAGATCATTCCAAAAAATTATTAACTTCTCTTTAATGCTTGCCCCAATAATCTATTTTTAGGTTCTCCACTCTTCTGCTATATCCTCTATGTGTAAGCTCAATTCCAAGATATTTTTTCTTAAGAGACTAGTTGTTCTGTATATTTTTCAATAGTCCACGTTATAAAGTAAAATAGAAAAATAAAAATCTACAGTGCATTTCTTGCCAATACCTTATATGTGGAAGCTGATGAACCAAGGTAACAGAAGAACTTACAGGTGAAGGCAAGCATTTTTGCAGGCACATAACTAGAAACTAACAACAAAAGTGGGTCTCTATGACTCAGCTTTTGTACTAGACAAGCAAAAGGTCCAAAATAAGAAAAAATACAACAGGTTTCTAACAAGGGAAAGCTGTACATCTCACATGTCTCCCTGGCATCTGTAGGCAGCTCTCAACAGCAAAGTGAACAATAAAGTCCCTTTTAAAGTCCCCATCTGCAAGCTGGATGCACATGAAAAACATACAAAATCTATCATGTTTATAACTTGGTTTGATGTAAAAGAGATCAAAAACATACCTGGGAGCTAGGAAAAAACGGCTTTGAAATACTTATTCTGTTAGGCATTTAGCTGTGGCAAGCTGGACTTTGCCATGTCCTAACTGACCATGCTTCAAGATGTTCATCCACTGCTCTGTCTAGGAGACACAAATGACAAAAAGGACAGCTGAAAACCTACCAGAGTAGAATAATCCTTTCCCCTTTGAGGGATAGGCACAAAGAGAAGGAACTTAAAAGTAGGAGGGGAAAAACTGAAAGCAATTTGAGCATTCTAGTGTCATGCACATCAAATGTAGCTGTTAACACTTGTATAGAAGAGGCCACTAGACCTGTGCACATTTACAGAAATGAAGCTTTCCTCTGTGTAATAAATAACACAGTGTCAATCTAAATTTTTCTAGAAATCTACATTCAGTAAAGAAGGAACATGTCCTGCTTTCTCTGGGGCATGTGAATTTCTTAATGATGTGCGTGCTTGCAATTGACAGGAATAGAGAATTCTGAAGACAAGCTTATTTCACTCAGCAGTACAAGGGTGGTACTTTTAGCTTTACTCACAGTGAAGTAGCACTAAAGCAATCAAAGAAAGCAAGAGGTACAGGAATGATAGGTCTAAATCAATAAACATTACCAAGACTAGGAAAATCACAGCTCCAGTAGGAGCTGGCAAGGAAAGATGGAATGAGGGAAACTTATACCTTTTTCTTTTGCATAGTCTCTAAATGGAAGAAAAGAAAAAGTGCCAATAATTGCATAGCAGCAGAAATGCTGTAGAAAACAATATGTATAAATAGGCCTAAAGAATGTAAACTATATTTATGCATGCAAAGAAGTAAAAAATCATCAGCTGAAAAGGTCACAGAAGAGATGCAAATAAGAGCACACATGAGACACAAAGAGGTAACTGGAGAAAGCAGTAAAAATGTATACTTCCAGTCCCATTTAAGAGGAGGCAGATGGGAATATATAGAAAACTAGAGACTATACAATCACAAACCTACAAACCAAACAATTTCCTCAATATTTAGTAGCAGTTAAAATATAATGAGATGTTTAAAGAGAAGCCTACTCACCCAGCATCCGTGGTTTTCATGGTCTGCAAAGCTTTAGTTTGAAGACCCAGGCACACCTCCTATTTTTAGGGAGGGGGAAAAAGAAGAAGAATTAGTCTAACTCAGATTCATTTCAGCTAACCATAGCCTCATATCACCTTGCTAGGAGATTCTTTCTGACTGAATGACGGGGTTGTACTTGGATTTTTGCACACCTGAGATGTTAAAATCATAAACAAAAACCTGACAGGAAACACAAAACAGATCTTCTACTTATATTGTAAGAAATATACTGTGATTCAAGGTACATATTCAAAGTTAAGGGGACATTTTAAACGGGTACAAACTGCATGCAAAAGCAATTGAAATTACTTTCCAAGAACCCAGTAACAGTAAAAGCATGGAAAAACCTGCAAGTACTCTTTAGAAGAATAGTGGTACTGAGGATTGAAAGGAATATTTATAAAATAGATTGACTTATAGTGTAAGTTTACTATTATCTAGCATAAAGTCTCTTTCAGAAGGCTTTCACATCATCAGCTTGTTTTAAAACACTGCATGTCAACATTTCAGCCACTGTCTCTATGTGTCAATGAACCAGAGCACCAACCATTTTCTTTGCAGCAGGCAGTATGTCTCACTTCATTGCAGAGCTCTGGGCAGCAGAACAGATCCAGTGGCTCTTCTGGCTCTCTTTTAGCATAAGGTATTTCCATGTACCTCTGGCTACAGGGAAGAGGGTTTTGTCAGTCAAACCAAACATTACCAAGGGCAGTGGAGAGAAATACAAAGAAGTGGAAGATTTATGGTGCAGAGTGTGAGGCTGTGTGTCCTTCCCTCTCTGCTCTATGAATGCTGTCCATGTGCCACATGCTCCACACATCACCTACAAGGCTACAGACTTGCCCTTTCTTTCAACTCACTGATTAGGTGTGCTATCTCCATGGAACATTGCTGACATCAGGTCCAAAACGTGCAGCATTTTCCAGCAGATTCATGTTTAGTGAACAGGAATAATAAACCCGAAGCCCAAAAGCTCTTCAGGGCCTTTGAGCTCCTGCCAGATTTCTCCCTTTGGAGCTATCCTTCAGGGCATGAAATATGTGTCACTTTCCTCAGCCAAGGCTCATGCAGTGTAAAGGCTTACCTTTCTTCAAAATGCTTAGGCTTATTTTAACACACCTCAGGTTAGAGGATTTCCACGTTTTTGCCAGCTGAACTGCCCAGCACCACATACACTTATCAGCTTACATTTCTTTAAAATAAGATGGGTTGGAATAATGAAGTTATCATTGGTATTCCATGGTATTCCCAGCACAAATTATCTTTACATTTTTAATGGAAAGGTTTATAACCATAAAAGATGCATCATCATACATCATATAATTTTTTAAAATACACATGCATGGTAGTTTTTATATTATTTTTCACAGCATTCCTTTGTTTAGATTTTTCTAAAGTCTGAAGACCATCCTCAAAGCTAGTGGAGGGTAGAAAGTAAGTTAGTGCCTTTTAGGCTATATTTTCTCATCCTAACCAGGAAAAAATCTGAACCTACAACTAGGAATATAGATTTGATACCTGTCATCATCCAAATCCCCCACATATCCCAAATCAAAACCTTACAGCAATATAAAAACAACTCGGAGAGCGCAAGCAAAGTGAAGGCAAAGGAAATCATACAGGCTGTGACTTCATCCAGAGGACTTAGTGAGTCAAAGGGCCAAAGACCTGATTGGCATTTCTCTTGTCAGGAAAGGAAGTTAATGCAGAGGACATCATCTTGCCTTTGACCTGTGTCAAGCAGTACAAGTTGTTTAAGCTTTCCTGCTAAAATTAAGTGGTATACAACAGGGACAAAGGGGTCAGGTCAGGAGAGTAAACGTTTAGCCTCATGGGCAATGAGCCCAGACAGGGACAGCCAGGTCTGAGAACAGCTTGTAGCTGCTCCTCAAAGATGATGTAAATCCAAGGATGCAAAGCAAGTAGGGACTGACTTTGGGATTTTTTTGATAATTGTGTGAGCACAATTATCAAAGGGCAGATTTTAGACAGAACTAGTAGCTAGTTCCCAAGTAAGTCAATAGAAATAATGATATAACTTCACCATCTCCCCTTATTCTTGTGTTTTTCCCTCAGGCTAGATCATACATGTTCCCTCCTAAAGTGGAGAAATCATAGATAACTGAGGTTTTTTTTTTTCATGAAGGCAAAATGTTATGTGATAACTATAACACATTTCACTGACACTAAGAGTACAGGTGCAAGTAGGAAGATGCACAGACCACGTTTAAATCGAATCTGATAAACATTTCCAAACAAGGTTGAAATACTGTACCGTTGCAACTTTTTTGCAGTATGGACTTTTAACACACTCACCACCCAACCCATGCCCACCCACTATGCATGTTCCTATTGCTGTATGCTGCGTTTCCTTTTGGCAACCATCCCTAACCTACTTCCAAAAGAGAACTAAGGCTGTGCAGCCAGTCGAGAGCAGCACAGTGTTGATCAGAGAAGCCTATTTCAAGAGGTAAAGATACAGCTTATAATCTGAGAACAGAGAGAGACAGTAGAGTGCAATTCTAGAGAGGCAGCTTTTAAGGTTGTATACTTTTTTGATATATTTTGCCTCTTGTGGATGAAATCAATGGGCCTGCACTGTTTTTCAAAATCTAAAGTAGACAAGTCCCTTTTTTTTTATGGCTTAAAAACATAATTTAGCCTTTGCTGAGCAGACTTATTTCTACACACAAAGGATGTCAGTCAATTACATCGAAACAATTTCATTCAGGTCACTAAACATCAGTAGGTAGCATGATTTAGTACCAGCAGTGTATTATACAAAAGCACAGCAATTTTGAGGTTTGGAATTGAAATGGAAATTGCAACGTGGATGAATATTGATGGTAAGAACATAGAGCAGCAGGGAGCATCCTGCACTTAGCTCATGACCAACCCATTCCTGACAAGGAATCCTTCTCCCACACCATAAGACAGCTGTATTGTATTTTCTTAATTAAAGTTAATTTCTAGCATTTGCATGCAAAGTCCTGTACCTCAAGTCACATGTATCAAGAAAACTTTTTAAAAAGAGGTTATTACAATTAGTTTCATAGCTTTAGATTCATAAAAGCTATTTTATTTCCTTGCATAATTTAAGGTTTTTATTTACAACTGACATTTTATAATATTAGATGTTCCTAGCTGTGCTTTTTCTCTGATAAAGAACTAGGATTGGTGATGACTTATGTTTATTGATCCAAAAATTACAACTTCTTTGCTAACTTAGTGAAAGATACTGTGGTTTCATAACTATTCATGAAGGCCAAACTTCTAATACATGTCAGAAAAAGGATTTTGACATTTTCTTACAAAAATTAACAAAATGCACACCGGCTTCTTGTAACTAAAAGCAATTTTAATTGCTCATTTTATTTATGGGCATGTAGTTATAGGATATAGGGTGATGACTTTAAAATGAGTTTGGATTAGATTTTAGGAAGAAATTCTTTATTGTGAGGCTGGTAAGGTACTGGAACAGGTTGCCCACAGAAGTTGTGGATGTCCCATTTCTGGAAGTGGTAAGGCTGGGTTGGATGGGGCTCTGAGCAACCTGGTCCAGTGGAAGGGATCATTGGCCATAGCAGGGTGGTTATAACTAGATGATTTTTAAGATCCCTTCCAACCTAAACCACGTGAACTACTTATTTAAAGAAAATTGACCTGAAGTCATATCCTCTGTAATACACAGTATGTTTCTGTACACACTATGGGGCTCCTATTACCAACTTTGAAAAATTAGTTCTAATTTTAAAAATAAGCAAACGAAAAAAATCAGCTATCTCAACCATCACTACTTTTCTAATTCAAAACCAGCATGGTCTGTTGACCAGGAGGCAGCAGATAATTCTTCCAACTACTGCATTTCTCTGTTCAAAGCAACAATTTATTCTTTACTGCTAAAAAAAACATCTTGAAGAAGGAGGGCTATTTCTTAGCTGTGATTATTACCTCTTGGTTCATATACTCTGACAACCAGAGGTATTACACTATGAAATTCTTTTTCCACATGATGGATTTCATCAATTGCTCTCTAGCAGTATCTAAACTATCATGTTATACCAACCAAATATCATCTTTACTCTAAAAGATTTGGAATTATGAAAAGATTTGGCATCATTTAAAAAGCAGTTAAATGCAGTTCATTGCCTTCACACTGCTGCTTTTTTCTTTTACACACTGATAACACAGGATCACGTGTTCATATTCAAAGGCAAAAATCAAGGAACCAAAGACTTTCTGATATTGTTCTAGCACAATTTCAAAAGGGAAAACAAATGGCCCACATCTTGGGGAACGTGGAGTGAAACCAAAAGGAACAACTGCAGCCTGCTCCAAAAGCAGCAACTTTCCTAAGTTGAAACTAGCATAAATCCTATATGCGTTAATGGATGGGAATTACAAAAAATGCTTCTTTCTGACTCCTTGTTAACCTAAATCACACACTTTTCCAATTCTGTCCTTCATTAGGAAAGGAAAACAAAGAGAATATGCTACAAAATCTAAAAAAAATTGTTAGAAAGCTGATTCTGCTAATATAGGAAGGCACTTGGATACACCTTGGTTTACTAACACAAGTCTCTAATGGCAAATAGTTAATCAAGACAGACCCTACATCATATCAATCACTGAAGGGCTTTAGGCAGTAGCATCCAAAACAACTGTCACAAATTGTGACGATGAATGTTCCAGTAGAGGCTTTTATCATCACCATCTTGAGCCTTGCACAGCTAAAGCATATTTTACAAACTAGAATATATTTGACTAGTTCATAATATAGAGCAAATCAAAGAGAATTATGGATTCTCTGGCTGTAAGTAACCATGTGCTCCTTATACCTGTGAAATAGCATGCAGGATAATCTTAGTAAGTCTGAAGGTATATATATACTCTGAGGGCCTGACCCTGCTCTAACTTTTTCCATTAAATTGGAATTAGACAATGTTACTGGCATTGAGAATTAAATACAGCAGGCAAAACTCATCTCTTAAAGCAGTAACAACAGATTCACTCAAGTAAAAAATTAAAAATAACCAACCAAAAAAACCACATTAATGTGAGCACTTAGCAACTGTTTAATATAGACACAATTTACAAATCATAACACTTAAATAATGACTCATCAGTGGAGACAAATAAGCAAATCAAGTTCATATTTTAACCCTGCATAACGTAAGAGTTCAGTGATTTTTTTTTTATTGCAATAACATTATTTCTGGGGTCAAATATAGTAGCTTTAAAAACTTTCAATCTGTATAGGCTAATGTTATTAATGTTATTCATTTCTAAAACGGATTTTCAATTCGGTAACACATCGTCTTACTAATAACATATTTGATTACAAAACTGTGCTCCTAAACATTCTCAAAACAAGCCACAGACTTTCATCCATGGTTTTAAATGCAGGAAGTTTCGTGGTATTATGATTCTGAAGTGTAGGAGCTGACTACAAGAACACGCCTAGTGATGTTGATATTTCTACAGTCACACACTATGAGAGCTGATTAGATATTAGATTTTATTTCTGTTTGGTTGCACTTTTTTTGTATTTTGCTTTATACTCTACAGAAATCTGAGTCTGCACCACACATAACAGTCTCACAGCAGAACAGGAACTGGACAAGGAAAAGAAAGAACAAAAATGGTATACTCCACATTCCAAC